GATCTCAGCTCTCCCACTTCTGAGAGCTCACAGACAGTTCTTCAGCTGACATCCACCAGCTGTGTCATCGTCTTTCAGTGCTGACTCCTCTGAAAAGGAAAACACAAATTCTTGCTGTCCCTGACTCCAGCACCTTGCTCTGTGTTGCCTTTGCCTTTTCCTTAGAAGCTGGGCAACAGTTGCTGTTCTTTCCTGTTCCTTTTCCTGCTATTACAAGATGTCTGGATCCATCTTTTGATCTTCCACAAATGACACCCTAGCAAAGATGACCTGGTTGTGGTCTACATTTCTACATCTCGTGCATCAGTAGTACAACAGGGCAGCACAGCCCTTGATTCCTGAATGAAGCAGGCTGTGCAAGAATCCTTTATGACTTTTTTACCATCTTTCTCCTGATTTCTGTGGCAGCTCCTCTACCCTTGATGAGTTTTTCTGGAAGTCGCTTTGTAAATGTTGTCAAACTGTGTGTGCAAAGCAGGTGAGCAGAATGAGCACAGCCGAGGTCTGCTCTGGCAAGGGATCCGATCCCCGAGCCTGCAGGGGACACGAGCCCGGAGCCTGCAGGGGATCCAATCCCCGGAGCCTGCAGGGGATCCAAACCCCGGAGCCTGCAGGGGATCCAAACGCCGGGGCCTGCAGGGGATCCTAACCCCGGAGCCTGCAGGGGATCCAATCCCCGGAGCCTGCAGGGGATCCGATCCCCGGAGCCTGCAGGGGATCCAAACCCCGGAGCCTGCAGGGGATCCAAACGCCGGGGCCTGCAGGGGATCCTAACCCCGGAGCCTGCAGGGGATCCGATCCCCTGGGCCTGCAGGGGATCCAAACCCCGGAGCCTGCAGGGGATCCATTCCCCGGAGCCTGCAGGGGATTCAATCCCCGGAGCCTGCAGGGGGATCCAATCCCCGGAGCCTGCAGGGGGATCCAATCCCCGGAGCCTGCAGGGGGATCCAATCCCCGGAGCCTGCAGGGGATCCGATCCCCGGAGCCTGCAGGGGATCCATTCCCCGGAGGCTGCAGGGGACCCGATCCCGGAGGCTGCAGGGGACCCGATCCCGGAGGCTGCAGGGGACCCGATCCCGGAGCCTGCAGGGACCCGATCCCGGGGCCTGCCGGCCGGATCCCCGCAGTCCCCCGCACGGGCAGGGCGCTGCCGATCGGGCGCGGCCGCAGCACCGAGCGCTCGCTCTTCTCTCGGGCACCAAGGGGAGCGAACCGAGCGCGGAGCCGGGAGGGCTCAGGCACAAGGTAAGGGTGAGTGCAGTAAAGAAAGCCAGAGCCCAGGGAGGAGGAGCGAGGAAGAACACCACAAAGCAAGAGAAAAAAAGTAACACCACAACAAAAAAGACAGTAAAAGGGAGTGCAATAATGGGCATGCATTTCTCTTTCTTCTGCCCTATGGCAAGCTGCCAATCTCTTCCATACAAATTCCTCAGTGCTACTAAAACCAGTCCCCATGGACACACCTGCCTTGAGACAAATTCTTTTAGTCTTGAAAAAATCTGGGCACTTCTTCAATAAGGCGCTTTGCTTTTAAACCCCTTTGCCTTTGTGAATTTTGGCAGCAGCTCACACTTGGAGAGCTTTTGAGAACCCTTTCTGTAATCAGATTTCCCTGTCCTGCCCCAGGGGACTGTGGGCGAGTCACTTCCCACAGCTGTCCCTCAGCTTCCAATTCTGTGGCGTGTGGCTCACCACTACCTCAAAGGGCTGGGGCGAGGCATCGTTTGTGTGTGAAGAGCTGTGAAAGAAATCCACGAGGGAGCCGGGTGCTGAGCAGTACCTGACATGCTGTGAGCACAGCGTTACCATAGCTCATCGCTCGGGCATGGCAGGAGGTGGGGCAGGCCCTGGAGTGTGGTTTAAAACACTTCACTGCCCAGCGCAAATCTTCATAAAGTGAAAGAAAGAGGAGGCAGTGGACTCATGTCACAGGATTTATTTCTTATACGCAGTAGAGCCAAGGTTTAAGACCAGAAAATATGAACATGCTTAGGAGTACCAGCTAAATACTCAGAAAAAAAGAAAAACTCAAGCTGAGACTTTTCCAGTCCCTTCTCATGCAGGCTATCTCTTGAGCACCTTATGCTGGAGGTATTTAGGGGTGACAAAAATACTGTATTTGCACTGACAATAGTCTCCTTTTCTTGTTCTGATCAAACTAGGCTGTCCACAAGCATAAAAAATAGTCCAAATGATTTGCAGCATGAAGCAGTAGAAAAGAGCATCACTACAATTCTGTGGATACATGGCTAAAATAATGGGCATTTTGATTTCTGCCCATTCTGATTTTCTTCTGAGTGAAATTTATAGTAACATATGAGTAACCTGCTCCTTCTTTCCCATTTCCCTTCTTTTTTATTCTACAATTTCTAACCAAGCCCTTATCACATTTGCTCTGAGAAAGAGGTCAAGTTTCTCCTTATGAGCCAAGTTGCCTGCGTTGGCTTAGACTTGGTTTTAATATCATAGCTGGAAAACATATACTGAGTTTACCTTCTCTTTTTTGGCAATAGACATGCTCTCCCCCCTAATCAATTAAAAAGACAAGCCTTGAAAAAGCAGGGTCTGAAGATATGGATGCTGTCATGAGCCATGCAGAGTCTAATTCTGGCTTGGCTGCAAATTTAATTTGTAGTCTTGAGCAAATCAGTAAATTTTCTCATCAAGTTTTCCCTCAGCAAAAGAAGGAATAGTTACTTGCCTTGCAGAGATGCTGTAAAGACTGAAAAAGTCATTAAATACTTTATTTAATATGTAAAAAATCCCTTAAGAATTATGTAGAAATTTCAATTAGGATTTATAAACAGGCTATTTAAAACCACAATGGAATAAAAAGTATCAGCATTGAAGCAAATTAATGAAATAACCATGGTAAAAACTCCTCAGATATGAAGAATGGAACATAAATCTGCAGTTGCCTGGCAGAGTATATTCCACTCAGAAAAACAGCTGCTCTTTGTTCATTATGATGGAACAAAGTAATTGCAGATACATGAGGAAATTCTTGTAGCCTATGATACTCCTTGATAATGCCTTCCATTATTATTGGTCTTTATTTTTAAGGATCTTATAACACTTTGGGCCTTTAGTTGGATCTGTCCTGGTGTGGTTGGTACCACAGACACAGAAGATAATGAAGTGCACTGCCCCAAAGAGCTTTTGGTCAGAGATCCCAAGTGTCCAGCAGTTTACATTGCACTGAAAGGTGATGTACCATTGCTCTGATTTCACACATGTGGTCAGTTTTTCCCCTTTTCCCCTGTTTGACATGAGGCAGAACAAGGCTGCTTATCTCAGTGTCTGCCTCCCCCTCAGCGGGGGCCTCGCTGTGTTTGCTGGGTGACATACCAGGGTAGTGCAGGTCAGGTGCTGCTCTTGGAGCTCTGTTCGTGTGATTATGTACCAGTAACACTGCACAAGCTGAACTGAGGCCTTCCAGGACTCCTTCCTGAGGTCACCCTGCTCCATGAGTGAGGAGGCACCAGCTGCTGCTAACCCCAAACAGGGCTTAGCATACAATGATCTTTGTAGGTGTGAAATAAATGTGCTCTCTGCTCTGGCAAGCTCCCTCTGTGAGGAGAGGTACTAACTTGCCAGTTTACTAAGAGCTGGTCTCCACCAACCATGTCCACCCATCCAAGGTACTCAACTGAGTGTGGTTGGCACGTAGGTCTGTGCAAACCACAGCTGACGTTTCATCAGCTTCACGCTCTGTTTTGTTTGCATGGCACTTTCATCCATAAAAGGTGTCAGTGAGACCTGGAATCTCTAGGGACAGGAAAAAAACCAGGTATTTTGCCAGTTCTGTTCCACTTTAGGCCACTTGCAGAAGTGAGGATCATTTCCATTGGTATCTCAGCCAAATGGCACTCTTCTAAGGCAAGTTCTGGCTTCTTCCACCATCACTTGGCTGAACACAGGAGTCCTTATGGGAAAACTTTTCCCTTTTTTGAGAGAACCCTCTCCTGTTAGGAAACACAAGGAGAGGAGAGAAGGCTGTCTGACTAAAGAATGCCTTTAAAGGTCAGGTAACCTTTTCAGTTGCTGTGCAATAGATTTTAAGACAAAGACACATACAGTGGGTGAAAGTATATCAGGATAAGGGGGCACGTGAATTCAGATGGAGCAAAGACTGATTTCTGCACAACATGTGAAGACCCTTGAGAGCAGAGACCTGAGCAGGCTGGGCGTGCACAGCCTGGCCAGAGCAGACAGAAAACACAGTGGGTGATGCAAGGGCAACCCTGAGAGGCAGGGCATGCTGCAGCACAGGCACAGCAAGCAGTGTTAGTGCTGTTAACAGATACCTCTGATGGCAATGGGACTGGCACCAGCTGAGACACTGCATAAAATCAGTAGCACCAAGTGCTGCCTTCACTCATGCTGCTTCACACCTCCACACCTGGTGGGCTTTGTGCCATTCTGGTTTAGGTTGGCTGTAGTGATCATTGCTTCTATGATGTTTTTGGATTTGTAGAGTTATGATGTCAGGGAATTGCAGAGTTCCCCTGTAGAAAGCAGAGGAGAATGAAAAACCACAGAGGTCCAAGATGGAAGGAGCAGAAATAAATTCCGTGCAGTAGAGGTCCATTTTCTGAAGACATTAAACAGCTTTAAGACTACACTAGTAAATGAACACACCCTTTTTATCACTGAGGCAACCAAAGTGGGGAGAGTGGAAACAGGCTGTTATAGGTAAAGCCAAATGAGATGTTGCCTAGTAACTCTCAGCAGGGAAGCATTTAAACCCAGCCAGTTTAGTGGAGCTGATGTTCTGAGTCACAGATTATTTTCTCTGGAAAAAAATTCTGAAGGAAGGAAAGCTCAATTTAACAGACATAGGATTTATTTTGCTTTTAGGGCAAACCATAATGACAATGCTTGGGAGAATGCAGAAGTATTTACAAACTCGTACAAGGAAGAACAGACAAGGCATCAAAAGCAACACTTTACCAAGCCTGTTTTTTTAATGATGATTTATTTCCCCCAAATACAGTAAACTCCATATTGATTTTTATTTTTGGATTCTGAAATACACAAGTGATAACAGAAATCTGAAAATATTATACATATCATTACATTATTGTCATATAATTGCTGTAAGAGAAGTTTCTGGAGCAAACCCTATTTCTACTCTGCTATTGGATACAGAATCAAAATAATTGATTTAAAAGAAGAAAGACTTAATGTCTCCACTGGTTCCATTGCCTAAAACAGTTTTAATTAGGTCCTCCTTCAGGACTTTGCTTTTATGGGTTCACAGCAAAGTCACTTGGCTCAGCTAAGGGTCTCTCACATCAGGGGGAAAAAAACCCTCCGACCTTATTTGAATCTTATTTGAAGATTCATGTTATTTTTGCTTCCCTTTAGAAGGATATGATGATTTTATAGAAGTATAAGTTTGCCAAGATCAGCCATGTACAGCTGTGTTCCTGAGTGCCACAACTACTGCTCAGAATAAGCAGTCAGGTTCAGGAGAGCACCTCATTTCAGCAGCCTCAATACAATTAATGATGATAGCTGCAAATGTGAACTATTGCACAGATTTTTTTAAAATTAAAATATACAATAAGCAGATCCAGATGAACACACCACACTAACCATGAAAAGACAGACTGCCAAAGAGTTAAAACAAAAATATGTATTTTATCAACAATGATAACAGCTGGAAAACAAAGCTACTACAGCATAAATACTAAAATTTGAGTTCTATGTTAAAAGCATGAGAGTTTTCTACAAGCATGCTGTAGGAGCAGAGAAAGAATGTTCTGCAAGCCAGAGGGAGTCACTTCTCACTGACCAGAGCCTGGTTTGAAGTGTAATGAAATGCTGTTGATACAGAACCTCTGCCCAGAAGGTGTGGGTCCATCATCAAACACATGGCCTAGATGGGCATCACACTGCAACAGAAATTATTACCATTTTATTATTGTATTGCTATAAAATGACAGAATCATTTAGGTTGGGAAACACCTCTCATTCATAGAGCCCATCTTTGACTGATCACCACCATGGCACTAATTGCCACGTCCAGTGGTTTCTTGAACATCTCCAGGCATGGTGACTCCACCACCTCCCTCTGCAGTCCATTCCAAAGCTTAAAAACCCTTTTCATGAAGAAATTCCCACTGACGTCCAGCCTGAGGCCATGTTCTCTTGTCCTGTCTCCAGCTGCCTGGGAGAAGAGCCAAATCCCCACCCGTTTGCACCCTCCTTTCATGCAGTTGTAGAGAGTGATAAGGTCACCCCTGAGCCTCCTCTTCTCCAAGAGAAGCATCCCCAGCTCCCTCAGCTTCTCCTCATCAGCCTTGTGCTCCAGACCCTTCCCCAGCTCCATTACTCTTCTCTGGACATTCTTCAGCACCTCAATGTCCTTCTGAACTGAGGGACCTAAAACTGGACACAGAACTCAAGGTGTGGCCTCACCAGTGCTGAGTACAGGGTTATGGTCTCTGCCCTGGTCCTGCTGGCCACTGCATTGCTGCTCCAGGCCGGGATGCCATTGGCCTCTTGGCCACCTGGGCACTCTCAGGCTCATGTTCAGCTGCTGTTGACCAGCACCCCCAGCACCTTTTCCTCCAGGCATCTTTCCAGCCCCTCTGCCCCAGCCTGTAGCTGCAGGGGTTGTTGTGAGCCAAGGGCAGGAGCAGGCCCAGGCACTTGGCCTTGTTGAACCTCAGAGCTCTGGCCTCTCCCATCAGTGCAGCCTGTCCAGCTCCCCCTGCAGAGCCTTCCTGCCCTCCAGCAGCTCAACACTCCCAGCCAGCCCGGTGTGTCTGCAGGCTGACTGAGGGTGGATCCTTGATAAAGATATTAAACACAACTGGTGCCAGCACTGAGCCCTGGGGATCACTGCTGGTGACCAGAAACCATTGGCATTGCATTATTATAATTGGAATTATGGACCAGCATTATTATTACTGTGCTATCCTGAATTAAGGAACTTTCATGATTACATCACTGTTGAGTTCTGTGAGTGGGAAAGTCCTGGGGAGTGACAAGGAATCATATCTTGTCATGGGCAAGTATCTGCCCCCAAACAAGAAGATCCCAGAAGAGAAAGTCAAAAGATATTATTGCCAGAAAGTATAGGAAATAAATGAGAGGAACTAAACATCTCAATATGTCATGAAAATGTCAAGTTAATAAATCACTGTAGGTCATTCTTACAGATCAACTGAGGATTTCCCTCTCAAATTACTGACATGAAAATATTAGACACAGTATAGCTATCAGTGACATTATTAAATTGGAATGTCTTCAGCTGGGGTTCTTGAAGGTGCCTGCTGCATATGGCTGCAAATATGAACTCTTCTGAGATAATGGATTGCAGCAAATTCTTGTTACATTTGCAGATGTACCTAAGCCTACTGCAAGCACACTGAAGGACAGCATTAACAATCTTAACAGTTTACAAAAACAGACACACAGAGACATAAAAAAAAACTCCAAATACAAGATGCAATTTGCATTAAATTCAATTGCATACTTTTATACCTTAACAGAAGTAAAAAACAGATTCAGCGTTGGGAAGAAATGGTTAAAGGTGGCAGCTGCATAGAAAAAGAACCTGTGTGTTACAGCAGGTTCCAAAAGAAATACCTATCTGTGTAATATGGTCTGTGGAAAGGTAAAGGTGTAAGGGCAGGAACACCATTTCTAACACACCTGAACAGCCTCTGACCCCTGCTGCAGGCTGGGCCCAGCTGCAGTGCTGTTCCAACCTTGCACTCTACTACAAGAAGGAAAAGGGTCGATTGGGAAGGATGCAAAACAGAGCAACAGAATGGTGAGCACACTAAAAAGCACTGCATAAAAAGGAACAGCTGAAGGAATTATAACTTTCTAGTCTAGAAAAGAGATGACTGAGGGAGTCAAAATAGCTAGAAAAAAATAGAAGGGAAGCTTCTGTGAAACAAGAGAATCCACAGAAAATAGCTGTGGAGATGAAGGACAAATGGTAATGGCTGCAAACAGCTTCAAGGGCTGGTGTCTCAATCTCTGAATATTTTAAGAACATCTATAGCAAATACTTAGCAAGGCTGAATGAGGAAGAACTGTCCCTGTGATGGGCCAAATGCATGGACCCTGTCTCAGAGTCTCTTCTACCATCTCTTGTCACACCTTGCAGCACACCTTGAGTAAATTTTCTGTGTAAGCTCCAGCCTTTGGCTACACATACAAAATTGCTTTCCCCACTCACATACATTTCTTCAGCTCAGACTGAGAAAGAATGGCCTCAGTGATACTGTAATTCTCACTGTTGTATTTAGGTGGATTCATTCATGGGCACAAAGAAAACACATCTGCTAAGCTTTGTGTCTTTGTGTATCATCTCCAAAACAAACATACCTGTTTGCAGACAACTTCAGTTCTTCTTGACCCCAGTGAGTTATCTGGCCGTCTCACAATATTGGTATTACTTTCATCTCTGCCACGAGTACCATAAGCCTCAGAAAAAGATGGCCATCCAGTCCCAGAATCATACTTCTTCTCTGAGCTATAGTGGAAAGCAGATCTTCTTGTTAGTTAATAACAGAAATGTTACAAAAGAGTCTGCTTGTATTAAGAACATTGGCTTCTCCCCTCATTCCTGTGTTGTACCAATATTAATATTTTGGCACAGTAGAAGTTTTCTCATTGGCATCAAACTGTCCTGGAAACTCTTTCCAAAGGGAATTCTCAATCAGCTCACAACAGGAGATTTTGTCTCACTGCTTCTATTTCAGTGTCAGGTTGGTATTTTATAAAGCTTAGAAAAGGGTTTTTTTTCTGACAACTATGCTATACTAACATTATGCTATAGTGTTTAGCTGAATTACACCTACAGAGCTGCAGTTTGAAGCCTGGCTCAATCCAGCAATCTCAGACAAGAGAGTTTACAAGCAGAAATGAAGAATAGACAAAGGCTGGGCTGGCCCACCAGACCAGGCTCGTGCCTGATGATGATAGAGGCTTTGTCTTGCAGTCAGCCATCAAGCTGGTTTGGAAAATCAAACAGAGACCTGCTCAAACCATCGATCAACCTACAACAAATCCTCACAGCACAAAGATCTCCTTTTCCCAAGAGATAACCACAGCCATAGGAAACAGCACAACAGACTGTCAGCTTGTGGGTGCCTCCTGTTAACATCCAGGGTGACCAACACTGTTTAGCTGCACATTAAAACCTAGACTGTGTTGGCAAATATGATCAAAAGACATTTTAGGTATTTGGTACAGAAATGAGATAAATCCTTTGGTTTGCAAGCTTTGACAGCAATACGAACCTTCTCTTATCAAAGAGGGACCTCGCATGAGTTACAACAAGAAATTAAGGTAGGTTCACATACTTCTCAGATTAGTGGTCTGGAGACTCACCACAACCATTTCCTCACAATTTCTCATGGTTTTTTCCCAGTTTCGCAAACCCAATGCTCTTACTGGCATCTAGTGGTGAATGGAGACATCAGCACCACTAGGAGCTCTTCATCAAGGGGTTGAAAGGTTAGTTACGACAGAATTTAAAACCAAGCATATATATATCCGAACCAAGTAATATATATCATGTATATTTTGGTGGGTTGTTCACACGGCGAAGAAAAATCTGAAAATCTTAACTGCAGTGCCTTTTAGAAAGATAAGGCAAACAAACTGGACAGAAAGCTTAAAAAATCCAAGCCAAAGAACAGTGCATGAGTCAGCATTTTTATAATCATCTGTACAAGGCTGTGGTTGAGTAATGCAGCTGTGGAAATAAAAGATTTACTAGCACAGAATGACCAAAGTCTAGTTTTTGTGTGGGCTGTTGCTTAGTCCTTCACATCAACACACAGACAGCCATGAGAAATGTTCTCCTTCCACTCCTCTATAAAACTGGAAAGAAATAGGACACAGCACAGGAGCAGCCTGCTCTGAAGCAAATGCAGTTTGCAGACTCTGTGTTTGTACACCAAGGTCCTTAGGGCTCCAGGCCTGTTTCTTTCCAGCTCAAGCAGACTCCCTGCTTTCCCTGCCACAAAACCACATGAACACTGTCCCTACCAGCCACAGAGTCCCCAGGAATGGCCTGGGGGACACATACCCATGCATGACTTCTGAGCTTCCCTGACATGCATCTGCTGAGTTTCTTTTTCATCAAAACTCTTAATTTTTTGACACAGGAATCCTTATGTTTATTCACACATAGATACAAAGTTCCTCTTTGAAAACCCACAGAGTCAAGGAACGTCTTTAATACTGTGGGGGTTTTGCATCTGACCCTGACTGACTCTGTCCCTTACATGCCACTCACAATACTTAAGTTTATTGTAGATGTTTTCCACTGCTAAAGGAGCAATCCTTTGAGCTGTTAAAATAGCTCTCAACAGAAATGGTCTCTGTGTGGTTTTATTAAGAGTAATGTCACTTAGATTCCCTAATAGAAACATTTTAGTACCCAAAAATATTACTGTTCAAGATCATATTTGTCCTTTGAAGTATTTCACCACTTAATTTATGGATAAATGGACTTTCCCTAAACATATGCATTAGATTAGACCTCGACACACCATTCCTCCAGCACATGTCATTTACTTTGATCCCTGTTTCAGTCGTCCTGGATGCAATCCAGATAATTCTAAAAAGTGCTTTTTGCTGTATGAATCTCAGCTGTAGGTTTATGGTTTGATGAAGGTTTGAGATTTCATTAAAGCACCACAATTTGCTATCTATAAAGGTTAGGGGTTCGTTCCATGTATTTTCAACTCTTTCAAATGTATATTTGGGAGCAGAAGGTACTAGATTCTGATTTAAATGTATACACACATTTCAAAGAAAGGAAGAAATACTTCATGTTTACCTGCAGCTAATGATCTAATGTATTTGAAAAAACCAAAATTTCACAAGAACATTTTTAATGGACTAGGAAATAAATATGGTGAACGAATCTCTTATCCAATACCACTTCTCCCCCTCATTGCTTGTGTTTTCCATAGCATAACATCTCCATGGAAAATATATTTTCAGGCGATTTTTCACATTTAATAGTTTCCTTTTTTCTTACAAGTTTTTTTTTTTTTTTTTCGAAAGTTTGGCCTTCTTTATCTGTGAGGCTTAGCATTACCTTGTGCTGCAAAGAAAAGTGCTTATATTCTCTGAGAGCTGGATAGTGCAAAGGGCAGCCTGACTGGTTATATTGCTTTTGTTACTAGTTTAACAACAGAAGCAATTCCCTCCAGTGTTTGTCTCTCCTCATGTTGGCCTGACAATATCAATTGTCTAATATAAAAGGTGCTGAAATTGAAGGAAAACCTGAAGGAATGGAAGGAACTCTTCCACAGCTAGTACTTTACAATTTCTCTAATTTATCTGAATTTTCCAGACGTGTTTTTAGGTTTTATATTTCTCTTCAGAATATTTTGTAATGCTGAGCTAACATCAGAAATTAATTTATTTATAAGTATTCATAAGCAAACCTCTATGGAAAATTATACATTTAAGGAAATGCATGTTTGCATAACAATAGTTTTCTGCACTTGGCCAAAGGAAAACGAATTTTACACAATTATAATTTAATTGCTTAGTTTAAATTTATTTTCAATACATCCATTACATTTTCCCCTCCTTTCTTACTATCCAGATTTCTTGATCCTTAGCATCCAATTTGAAGTTCTGATCTGTGATTCATACTTTAAATCAGCCACGTTTCATTCAGTTCTCAGCTGGGAATAAATAAGGGCTATTTTCTAGACCAAAAGTATGAGAAACTGTCTTTCCTGGTTCAGTTACAGAGAACAGAACACCCTCTGCACATCCTTCTCCAAGCCACTCTCTTTCCTTTTACTTAGACGTTAATGAAGTTGCAAAATATATATAGTATTGTGAAGAGCACAGAGGTTAACTGTGCAATCATTTGCAGCCAGGCTTTAAAAAGTAGATGTAACCAAAAAGGCAAGAATAGTGCAATTTAATTTAAGGAACAAGGAGGGGGTGGGGGTGAAGAGAAGGTCTCAACTGCAGTGTGAGGGACCCAGCAATGAGAACATCACAACAGCAGACAAGGACAGACCAAGTTCTCTCCAGCCCAGCAGCACCAGTGACAGCAGATGAGTATGGAGGAGCACAAGAATAAACACACAGTGATACTCATGCATAAATATATGCATTTTGCAGCAGCTTGTGGCTTAAGGACCTCTTAAACAGGGAATTATTATCAACTAAAAAGAAGTGTGTCAAGAGAAACAGGCAGACTACAGCATGACAGCTGTGTGCTGGCCATGGCAATCCTCATCAGCTCAAGGAAAAGGCATGCCATGTATCTGTGTCACCACACGCATCCTGGACAGCACTTGAGCACCAAGGGGTTGTTCTTCTGACCAACACTTTCCATGCCATTCATGGAAAGATGTTGCCCTTCCTGTCACAATCAGTACACGTTAAAGATGCTGTGAAATCCAGAGGATGTTACCTGAAGAGGGGGGCATTGCAGCACACACAGCAGTATATTCCTGGTTCTGTGTTATTCAGATAGATCCCACTGAATGGCTTTCAAAATAGGAAGGAAAAAAGAGAAGTTAATAATGTAGGTCTTTAAAAGCTCACCATCTGGAAGAAGCATGTAGGAATCAGATTCAAAACAGGAGAAAAACCATAAAAAGAAGGCTTTGCAGGGGGGCTTGGAAGAACAAACATTAGCAGCCTGAAAAAAATGAAGGGGAGGATGCCTTTGGGCTAGTAGTGAAGATTACTCCCTACCCCCACAAACTTTGAGACCAGTCAGATGCATAAATCATCCAGGTACCAAGCATGGAGTCGTGACCTCCAAGAAGCTGGTGAAATGTGCAGGATCCCAAAGGCCAGGGCTCTGCTATGGACTACCACAACTTTAAAGTGGCTTTACAAAGAGACTCTCCTCCTTCCTGCATGGTCTGGTACTGGGATCCTTATTTTACAGATATGGATGTGGGCACAGATCACATGGTATGTGCTCCATGTGTGCAGAAGTCCTGCCTCTGGGCTAGAGACAGCCAGCACTCCACCCACAATGCTACACAGCTTCCTTCACAGAAGGAGGAAACGTGGGGACATGTGGGTGGGTGATCTGGCACCTGAGGGAGAACCCATCTCCTGCAGGGACCACTATGTTTAAGATTTCCATGGCTAATCTACACATGATCATAAAAAAGAGACTACAGGATAAAAATATCTGAGGATCTCCCCGTCCTCCAGACAGGCCTCTACTCCCACCACACAGACAGTTGATCTGGCAGGAAAGTATCCCAGAAAAAAACCCCCAATAAAATATGAAAAGAATGCAGAATGTTTTTCATCTGCAACACAGCCCGGGTCAGAACAAAATCCACTCTGTTCCGTATGTTGAGTCTAACATTCATCCACAGGAAGGCAGGGGAATCCTGTGAAGAAACTGAGTGGTGACAGCTCCCCAGGGCAGGTTTTTCTGTGCCCAGCAGGCAGAGAGATGGCTCACCCTTGGACAGCATTCACACTTTTGCTCACCAGTTCAGTTCCTTTTTCTTGTGTAACATAGAATTGCTCCGGAGTCAATTTTTTTTTCCAGTCTGTAGCAGCAGCTGCTTCAGCTTGTTTAGTGAGGGGGTCTGTGTCTTCAATTAGATATAGAAAGATAACTTAGTAAGCTAGTTTAGATTCCACTGATGCTTTCCATCATCATCTCAGTTCTCCAAAAGTTTCTATGGGTACAGACAAAGCACAGAGGGCAGTTCAAGGGCATGAACAGGGCCATATGCAGGACTTTGCATTTGCTTTCCATTTCATGTGCTACATCCAGAGAGCAGCTCCAGCAAACCACTTGGGAAGGCTTGTAAAGGAAATGGGCACCTCTGAACCCAGGTACCACCTACTCTCTCAGCACTGCCTCTGCCCTGGCTCTGGATAACTGCTGGTCTGCCAGTGATCCTCCTTCATCCCTGGATAGCACTAAAAGGTTTGGCAAACCACTTGGAAAACCTCAGAAACGAGAAGTTATGTTCATCTGTGGGCTGTGGAACATCGGCAACTTCCATAGGTCCCAGTGAAAAGCGGTGCTAAGAAGGAGGACTGGAAAAAAGCAACAGCTACAGCCCAAGAGAAATGGGGCCATAGTTAAGTGAGAGACACACAGCAGCAGAGCAGAAGCCACCCATCATGGTGCAAACCTCCAGCAACGTATCCTGTGAGTCTGTACACACCAAGAACACTTGTGATGGTATGGGATTGACAAAGAACTAATAGACTGGCTGGAAAACAGGGAGTAAAATAGTTTAATACTCTCCTAATCGTAAAGTCTGAGGTGGAGAACCACCTCCCAGCCTATCTCCCATCAGCACAAGATCCTTGATAAACAATCAGCTCCTGAGGAATGAACGCTTGCCCAAATTAATCTCTTGCAAGGTAGAGGTGAGACTGGGGGCGGGGAAAGAGGGCAGGGGAAAATTAATTTGAAAATGATAGTTTAACCAAAAAACCTAGAACTTAGCCTGCCAGTTAAAGACAAAACCCTTCAGCATGCTAACGCAGCCATTCCTAAGTGGCCAGAAGACGGCGAGCAGGGGATGCTCGCGGTCCCCAGGCGCGTACCTGTGTCCCCGTGCGCGGCGCGGGCGCAGCCGGCGCTCGGCGCGGAGCGCAGCGGGAGGAGCAGGCGGCGCATCCCGAGCATCCTCCCGAGAGAACGAGCCGCCATAGCGGCGGGGCGGGACCGGGCAGGATTCCGGCTGTGTGAAATCCCTGCGTTCCACCTAAAGAATCAGACCTCATAAAAGCAATGAGCAAAGCACCCGCTTAAATGCCGATGCAGCGTTTGCAGGTAAAGGTTTCAATCACTTCTTACCGAGAGCAGCTCAAAAACGAACACTCGCTGCAGCCGCGAACATAACAAAATCCTGTTGAGACATTTGCTTGCAGCTATTCTAGGTTGTTTTTAAGGAGAACAGGTCTGGTACTTGCATGCAAAAGCGCTCTTGCTGCCCTGGATGTGTGTTGCAGGCATTGCTGTCAGCGCTGTGGATCGAGGAATGGCGAAGGAGCTGTGCCATCTGAGGCTTTCCTGGTTTCCCGCGGTGATTTGCAGTCACAGCTGCCTTGGCTTGGCCTATAAATATACCTGTAATAGGACACGTCCGTTAGTTTGGCAGCCCGTCCTTAAAAGGTAGACCTAAACACAAGTTAGTTTTCTAGGTTAAGCCTTAATGCTACTGTCTGCTTTTCTTCCAATAGTTTAATTTCTGATTTGGAATTAGTTCATCATTTCAGAAGGATGGGGAAGGAAGTGTTTTGATTACATTGGACAGCAAAGCTAATAATTATGCTAATAATAAACAAAGCTAGTAATAAGTTTACTTTCTTTTAGTTTAATTCTTCCAGCCTAATTCTAAAATCAAAGCTAAAAAATAGTCTTGTGTGATCAGTCCTGTATATACACATTTGTATTGAAGCATCCTTATGCCAAAGACAGTGCATTCTATGGCAGCTGAGGATATCCAACACAGCATCTGATCAGTACCATGGCTGTAATCACTCCCTCTGCTCGGATCCAAAGAGAGCTGCACCGAAGGCATTCACTGTCGGCACCCCCTGGCAGGGGGAGCAGGGCACACGGCTGATTTATGGCTTTGTCCTGTGTAATAAGACACAGTGGAGTGAAGCCAGAGTACCTGGATAAAAACCCTGGAGATGTGATGCCTGTGAGGCCTCAGGACGGTGATTCAGGGTGCTGCTGGCAGGGAGGAGAGGGCTTTGCCACCCCACTGTGGTGCTGGCAGAAGGCAGCATCCATGCTATAGGCAGAGGGACAACATTTTTCCATGTTCAGCCATTTTGGCAAGTGATGATCCTGTGATCTTTCCATACACTTTCTAGCTTGCCCCTATGGCATCTTATATCAGTCATTTAGCCATGGTTTAGGAGGGAGTTGGAACAGGTTAGGGAGCCTTTGGTGAGGAGAGACCCAATCTGACACTTCCCCAGTTCTGGCAAGTGGCTTAGGGCTAGGAAGTGGTAGCAGGTGATGGAGTCGCTCCCGGCCTCTGTCTCCAGTTCAGCTGTAGAAGAGAGGCATTTCCCTTACATTCCTGGTCTTAATCTCACTCAGATGGTGTTTCTCCTGAGGAGGACAGGTAATCAATAGAGTTCTCCCTGAATTATCTGAGAAATGAAGGAGGCTGAGAGAAAGTGGTTAGTTCTGAAACTTGCATGTTTTCATGTAATTGACATCGATTTAACTGGTGCTTTTTTTAAAGGCAAAATTAAATAAAAAATGAACTGTCAGTATCTTTCTTGCAGGTCTCTGTTATTGGTACCATCCCAAAATGCAGCAGTTTTGAGGCAGTGGGAACTGAACCAACACAGGTCTGCTGCTGTACGATTTTCCTCAGATTCTGGAGGAGGGAAGTAGGGGTCTGGGGGGCAGTGGGAGCAGAAGGAGCACAAGGCATCAGGCTCATCAGCCCAAGCCTCATCATCCTCTCAGTTACCCAGTTCATTACAAGCCACTCCTTGATTAAAATGAGGGGGGTGATGGAAGAGGCAGATCCCATTCATCCCAACAGCTGTGATCCATATTTGAGGTGGTACATAGCAGACCAGGAGAAAATCCTCCATTTTCCCCAGAAACAGAAGCCTGACCTGCAGTTATCCAAACCAGCATGACAGGTTTTCCTCAAGTGGAAAACAACCCCCCAGCTGGAGGTAATTCATTTTTCAGATCTTCAGTGCTGAAAAACCAAATCATTGTCCTGTCATGCCTGTAATGTTGCCTCCCATGGTTACAGCACACACCAAGCCGTGTAGCTAGGCAGACATCCGGCCTGCCTTTCTCCCCATAGACTGTTCTGAAAGCCAATTAAACTGTTACTTAATTTTCCTCCTGTTTTTTTTTCTCCCTTATGCACAAGAGGAAGCATTTAAAAATCTCCCCTAGCTACATTATGTAAATTTTCAAGTAAATTCTCCCTGAGTTGTAATTCAGCAGATTTATTGTTAAAATGTCATCTGTCTCCAGCATGTACACAAGCTGCATCCAGGGAAGGGTCATTCATCCAAAGCACAGTGTCCCTTTAGACGTGTGTGGATGGGGAGAAGCTCCTCAGCTCCTCCTGTAGTGTGGCTCTGTGCCGAGGCAGCAGCAGCATCACATGTGTAGGCGAGAGCAGAAGGGAAGAGAGAGGCAGTCTCAGCCCAGACTATCCTGCTAATATTTATTGGGGCTCCAGCCATTTCCCAGCTCAGGCTCTGCCTGGACTGATGGCTGTGGGGACAAGCAGAGCACCATGTAATGCCTGTGCTGGAAGATACTGAGCACTCAGCCAGGCAGCAAAGAGGTGCAGAAGTGAAAAGAAACCCTGTTCAAATTCAAACCTCTGCTTACACAGCATTTGTTAATAAAGCCCGATTACCACGTATGAAAGAAAACACTGAAATTGTGGTGGTTTTATTTTGTATGCATTTGTATGCAATCAGTTTTCCTCCGCTCACTTTGTCAAACCTAATGTATGTCCCCTCCTGTGGGGTGGTTCCACTGAAACACGTGGGAGCTCAGCATGCAGCAATTTCTCTGGGACCTCTCATGTGTAGGGGTGCTCAGGTGTGCCCAGGTGCCTGGGCAGTGAAGGACAGGGGTCTGGCAGAAGCCCTTCAGTGCTGGGTTGTATCAGGGGGGGGCTCAGTTTCCTCCACGGAAACCCTCAATGTTTTTGTAGGAGATGCTGCAGGAACTCCACATCCTTCCTCAGCAGAGTCTTCTCTCTCCACTAATAGACTGGATACAGCTCCACAGCCAGCCTCTAGCTGCTCAGGTGTGATGAAACTATGGGCTCTTGGCATATGGAGATACTGTTTCCACATGGAAGCACTATCTAAAGATATGTGGTAGTGCCCTGGTGCTGAATTCCAATGATGGAAAGCGATTTTGGCAAAATTTATTAGAAACAGAAGTGTCAAAGTACCTTGGAAAAGGGTACTGCTGGTTTCCAGAGACACACAGAGACTGAATGCAGATCTGAACCTCCCTGAAGCTGATCTATGGATTCTGCTTAGATTCATTTATGGAGCAGCCTGATGTGATTCAGGTCAAAGACATCATCAGAAATAATTAACATACAATTTCTCACTTTGTTTGTTTTATGGTTTAATATCTCTTTTTGCTAATCATAAGCTATAGGATACCTGATTATTCTAGCCTTTGTTTTTGGAAAGTAATACGTCATATTTGTGGGCTAGCTTAAGTGGGAGCCTTCTCTTGGAGTCTGAGGGTGGAATTTGAGCAGGACAGGATAAAACAGAATAATTCCAGTTGGAAGCGACCTAGAGGTTTGGTCTACTGTGACAAATGCTTTGAGCTGGATTAGACCAAATGCCCTCCATAGGTCCTGTCTAGTATAAATTATACTAGGATTCTAAATGCTTTGAGAAATTTCTTGCATAACAAGTGAAGGCATGAATTCAAAGTTAAATGGGAATTTGCAATCACTCCTTGATAGAAAACTGAACTCTGCAATTGAGCCATTGGTTCAGCTAAAAGTAGACCTGCAGTCTGGTATGGAGTATGTGTATCTTCAGGGGTAGCTGTTGGGAAGCAACGAATCCAGGCTATTTCCCTGCATTACCCTGTGCATCCCCTATATCATACCATCCAGTTCCTTGAGCCATACAGACAGTAATAATACATTACACAAATTTGTGCATGATTTCTTATCCCTTTTATCCCAAGGTAGTGAAGAACTGCGATGTTCCACACAGTACCCAAAGCCTGAACAGAAAATTGAATGAACACTTATTTGGCAGCAACTGTCATAGCAGCAACTTTCTGTAGGTTATCTTAATGGATTTATCACCCTGAACTAAGCCCTGACCATCTGTTCTATTCTCTCATTACAAACACAGAAAAAGGTAAGTCATGATTGCATCATAAAACAGTAAAATATAAATGATTTAAGAGTAGGGCATGCTTCACACTCTGATTAGGAAAATGACTCTCTTCCACAGAGTGACTTCCCTGATAACAGAGTTTGCTTTTTCCCAGCAAATGGGAATTACTGAGGAATGAGGTTTGCTGGAATGAGTTTTATTCCCACTCATTCATCTTAGATGTATTTTTAAATATGGGATTCATGTAAGTGAAGCTATGAATCTTCCTTTCCTTCTCTCTTAGGTGAGCCCTCCAAAGATTTATTTTTGTTGGAAAAACTAGCATTCTGTTCTCAAGGCATGAGCTGGTTTTCCATTTCATGAAAATGAAGTGCCTGCTGACAGTCTGGCCCAGCACACCTTGCTCCCACTGGAACAGCAGTTGGGGTTTCTTTTCCAGGACCTATCTGAGTAACTCTGAACTGAGCAAAAACTCCTCCAGCTTCATGTGATATAAAATCTGGCCAGATCTGTGGGGACAACCTACTTATGTGGGAACCTTAGGTGAGGAGCTTTTGAAAAGACAGAGTGTACTGAGTCAGTGGTAAATGGTTTTGTCCATATCTGCTATGTAGGAAGAGGGCAGAAGGGACCAGAGCAGGCTCTAGGTTTCACATGAACCTCTTGTTTCTACACCATACTGCCATTCATCTAGCAAGAAAAAATTCTGATAGGCCAGGTGTTGCTAGCCCATTTGTTAGTGAATTGCTTTAATTTCTGAGTGCCAAGCAAAGATACCTCCCCAGCACACCTGATTTCCAGCAGTGTTTCAGTATCAAAACTGAGCATGGACCTGACTGAAACCTGTGCTGCTCTCTACTACTGAATTTCTGTGGTCAGCAAATACACAGCTAGTGGCAGTAATGCACTGAATCAGTGGCAGCCCCTGGATGAGGCACTGGAACAGCTTCCCCTGAGAAGCTGTGGATGTCCCATGCTTAGAAATGTTCAAGGTCAGGTTGGATGGTGCTTGGGGCAACTTGGTCTAGTGGAAGGTGTCCCTGTTCACTGTGGGGATTGGAATGAAATGATCTTTAGGAGCCCTCCCAACTCAAACCATTTTGGGATTCTGTGACTCCCATCCCTCCTCTATCCCATGATAATAAATGCT